GCAGCTCAAATAAAGCAGCTACAGTTTCACTTTGAGACATGCTTTTGGCTGTTTTTTCCTTTCTTAGAAAAGCAAAGTCTATGCTTTAATAGTATGAGGCTTTTGATAAAGCCATCTTAAACAAATGTATCCATGCAAATAAGGTATTTGCAAAGAAGTTTAGGAGGAGAGATGGTATCGGTATCGGTAGCGGTATCGGTATCGGCAGATACTCAAAGTTGAAGTATCGGTATCGGTATCGGAAATCAAAAAGAGGTATCAGTCCATCCCTAGTTTGTGAGTATCCCCACACCTGCTGAGTAGAAGGAGAGATTCCAACCCCTCTCCAGTAGTTTGGTTCCAGAATCCTTGTTGTGCATGTAGGTGAGCCCAACTATATCTAGTCGGTACCTTTCCACCTTCTGCACCAGCTGAACTTCCTTCTTCACCAGTAAAGGGTGGGGATTTGGGTGTGTTCGTCAGTTAAAACATTAATCATGTTTCTGTGTTTGCATGGAAAACTGCTGAGCATTTAGTACATAAAAGCAGGTGGTCTCAGGAGCAGAACTCGGTCTTACTTGTTGGCCAGGTTTCGAGCCTCCTCAGCCAGCAGCGTCATGTTGTTGGGTTCTGTGCCGCCACCGGGAGGCTTAATGTCCTGCAGGCAACAACAAAGTCAGCTCCATTAATTTGCGCTGGGTCTCAACCTGTGGCCATGACGACAGTGACCTCACTCACCACTTTGCCGATGGCGTCCTTGGCCTTGTCCAGCTCCTGCCGGGCTCGGTCGATCAGGCTCTCGGCGTCTCGGACTCGGCTGCGGGCCTGGTCGGCCTGCGTTCCGGTGTCGTCCACTGTGTTGCGGATGCTCTGCAGGCGGTTCCACTGTGTGGTCAGAGTGCTGTTGATGCCGTTCAGACGGTCCAGCAGGCCGCGGTCAACATCTGCAGGGTCAGAGGTCAAAGGTGGACAAGTGCTAGTTCATTGAGAGCTAAAATCAGCGCGACTTTACATCATGTTAGCAGAATCTGACAGCGTTTGTTCAGTATAAAATATGCTTTTCTAAAGAATAAACAGAAGCTCTGGATCCTGACGTGGTTTCAGGTGCAGCAGGTTTTGTCGCTTTGTTACCTTTGCTGGTCTGAGCCTCCTCCAGCAGCTCCATGATGGCTCGCTCTGCCTCCTTCAGCCGATCCTCAAAGGCCTTATCGCTGACAGTCTCCTGGCCTGAGCCGAGGTTGTCGATCAGAGTCTGCAGGTCGTGAAGCTTCTGCCTCTGCTGGTTTACCTACACACAGAAAACAACACAACACTTTAACTCATCCGAGAGAGACAATGAATCCTCCAGGCACAAAATGACAACAAAGTGACACAAAATGACCTCTAAGATCCACTACACCACCACAAACAGACACAAAACAAAGACAAAGAGACACAAAAAGCACCAGAAAGACCCATAAAACCACCACTAACAAACACAAAGCAGCTGCCTCACCTTGTCCCGGACCAGACTGTAGCAGGAAGGACACTGCTGGCAGCCTGGTGCTGAGCGGTTGTAGAAGTAATTCTCTTCGCACATGTCGCAGCGAGCTCCGACGAAGCCAGCCCGACACTCACAGCGGCCGTCCTCCTTACACTGACCTGACTGGGAGCCTTCAGGGTCACAGTCGCAGGCTGCCAAGAAATTACAAGAAACTGAACCTTCTTCCTGAACAACATCTTAACTGGGTCAAATCAGACAGAATCCAGCAAACATGTGACTGTATGTCTCAGATTTAGTTCAGAGTTTATATACAGTTGAAACCAGAAGTTTACTGTATAAAAAGACATTTTTTTCTCACTGTCTGACATTAAATCAGACTAAACTTTTCCTGTTTTAGGTCTGTTAGGATTACCAAAATTATTTCTATTTGCTTAACACCACAATAATGAGAGAGGATTTGATTTTTTTCAGAGAATTTTTTCATTACTTTCTTTAAAATCAGAAGTTTGCATTCATTTCCTTAGTATTTGGTAGCATTACCATCCACAAGCTTCTCACAATAGTTTTCTGGAACTTCTTCTGGCCCATTCCTCCTGACAGAACTGTGTAACTGAGGCATGTTTGTTGGCCGCATTGCTCCTAGACCTTTTCAGCTCTGCTCTCCACAAATTTTCTACAGGATTGAGATCAGGGCTTTGTGATGGCCACTCCAAAACATTGGCTTTGTTGTCCTGGAGCCTCTTTGTAACTAATCTGGCGGTATGCTTAGGGTCATTGTCCATTTGGAAGACCCATTTGTGCCCAAGTTTTAACTTCATGCATGATGTCTTGAGATGTTGCTTCAGTATTTCCACATAATGTTCTTTCCTCATGATGCCATCTATTTTGTGAAGTACACCAGTCCCTCCCGCAGCAAAACACTCCACAACATGATGCTGCCACCCCCATACTTCACAGTTGGGATGGTGTTCTCAGGCTTGCAAACTTCCCCCTTTTCCTCCAAATGTAACAATTGTCATTATGGCCAAGGTCTTTGTCACTGTGTGCATTTGCGAACTGTATTCTGGCTTTTTATGTTTCTTTTGGAGTAATGTCTTCTTCCTCTCTGAGTAGCCTTTCAGCTCATGTTGGTACAGGACTTGTTTCACTGTGGATAATGACACTCTCTGACCAGCTTCAGCAGCATCTTCACAAGGTCTTTGGCTTTTATTCACATTTCGCACCAAAACACTTCATCTCTGAGACACAGAACCCATCCCCTTCCTGAGCGGTATGATGGCTGGACATTCCCATGGTGTTAAAACTTGCTTGTAATTGTCTGAACAGATGAACAGCTGAACGGCTAACCTTCAGGCATCTGGAAATTGCACTGGATGAAGCACACTTGTGGAGGTCCACAATTCTCTTCTTGATATCTTGGCTGATTTTTTTCCCATGTTGTCACAAAAGGAAGCATTGTGGTTTTTTTTTTTTTTAAATATATTTTTTGGGGGCTTTTGCCTTTATTTAGCGCAGTGGAGAGAGACAGGAAAGGGGGGAGAAGAGTGAGGGAGAGACCTGCAGCAAAGGGTCATGAGCGGGATTCGAACTCACAACCGCTGCGTCGGGGACTGTAGCCCCTGTTCATGGGTCGCCCGCGCTACCAGGTGAGCTATACGGGCGCCCGGAAGCATTGTGTTTGAGGTGTGCCTTAAAATACATCCACAGCCTCCAAATAACCCAAATCTTGTCAGTCAGCTATCAAAAGCTTCCAAAGCCATGACATCATCATCTGGGCTTTCACAAATAGTATGAAGACATAGTAATCTTAGTGTATGTAAATTTCTTCTAAATATTCTCTAAAAAAAAAATCTCTCTCTCATTATTCTGGCATTTAGCGAATAGAAATAATTTTGGTAATCCTAACTGACCTAAAACAGGAAAAGTTTAGTCTGATTTAATGTTACAAAGTGAGGAGAAAAAAAGTTTTTATTTTTATTTTTCGTGAGTAAACTTCTGGTTTCAACTGTATTTGTTATAGTTTTGGGACCCAAAACTAAGTTCTGTAAAATAATTTTGGCAGATTTTAAAGAATTTAATGTTTTCAGAAACGGAAATGTTTAGATTTTCACCCTCAAGAAAACCATTGTAAGGGTTCAAAAAATTAAAAAACAAAACAAAACAAATAAAACTCCCACAACTTTTAAATTTCAAAACATCCAGCACAGGCCGAATCTTGAATTATTAGATGGTATTGTGGCCCCACAAAGTTCCTCTAAGTGTACATGTATGAATGTATCACTATTCCTAACTAAAAATACAGTCTGTAGTCGACATTTCACCAACTTCGGAGGCTTTAACATCAGTAGAATTTGATGTGTGACAAGTATGACAAGACAAGGATCCATGTTTTTGCTCTCTTGACTTGAAACTTGTCTAAAATTATTTAAATAGTCCACAACAACAATAATAAATCATTTTTGCACCTTAAAAATGGGAAAAAAGTGCAAAATCTTCTAATAAGGGTGGTACTGTGGATTGCTGTCTTTTGTTCAACAACCTTTGGGGCCTCTAACATCAGTAGACATTCCAGTTTTTTGTGATTTTAACAAAATGTTGATGTGGACTCACTGATAGGAAACAAAAACTGGTATTCACAGGGGTCTTTATGTTGGTACTACACGTGCAAGGTCGGAAGCTGCTTTCACGTTCATGGTATCAAAAATACAGTCTTTGGTAGATATTCTACCAACTGTTGAGGCTTCTAGCATCATTAGGATCTGATGTTTAACAAGAAATTGACAAAAATTCAGAGGTTTCAGTTGAACTGCTGGCTGTGTCTCCACAGAGCAGAGAGGAGACAAGTATGGAAACACCCTATAAAATATCAGTAGTATGTGAAGCAACTATCTTTTTCCAGTATTATATTACATATTATTATTAGAAATGTTGGTGTGTTTGTCCTCACGTTTGCATCCAGATGAGCTGAAGCCGAAGAAGTTGACTTCGCAGCGTTCGCAGTGGAGTCCGCTGACGCCCGGCTGACACTCGCACTGACCACTGGTGATGTCACATTGACCGTTGGTGGAGCCAATAGGATTACAGTTACATCTGTGGAAATGCCAAAAAGAGGAAAAAATCTGAGAAAGAATTACACACATATGCATCTTTTAAACCCTCAATAATCCTGCAGGTTTTGGCAGTATAACTAAAAATGACCTGGATAGCATGTTGTCATATTTGCAAGTATTATTACTAAAGATATTGTTTTAATAATCATTTTAAAATTTCAGTTTTAAAAGTCATCTTATTACCTGCACATCACCAAAATCATACAGCCTGTTCTGTGTTGTGGTAATTATCTAACAAGAATCCTCATCCATGAAAATACATTCTCTATGATAACAAATACTGGAAATATTATTAAAGCAGGTGGGACAGACTTTTTCTGGACGTTTTCCTAATAATTGTGCTGTAAATTACAGAATACTTTCAACAAAGTATAGCAGAGTCTGGTGCCAATTATAAGGGAAATTACAAGAAAAAACCCCCACAATAATAATACTAAAATAAAATAAAACAATAATAATATTAACATTAATTTTAAAAAGTTAATCACTGCAGTTACAATGTACCATTTGATATATCTGAGTTTTGCACAAGACTTTTTCTAAAGAATATCCATCTTATTTTCAACAATGTTACTATAACATTTCAGGAAACTATGAAGACAGTTTCCAAGAAATAGTTATAATTGCCTATTTTTTCCTCCTTCTATTGTTACTATAATCTACTTTAAACTAGTGTTTCCACAAAAGTGCGAAAACGGTTTGTGGTTATTTTGTATCAGTCTTTATATGTATATATATATATATGTATGTGTGTGTGTGTGTGTGCGTGTGTGTGTGTATTTTTATACCACTGTAAAATGGTGAATGACCTCCCTAAACATCACCTGGAAAATTTTAATTTTGCGAGCTGAAGTAGTATTTTATATTCCTTTTATTTTGAAAATTGGTCTTACAAGATATTATCTAGTTTTGTTTTTTAGGATTTTATCCTATTTGATTCTACAAGTTTTATCCTTTTATCCTGCTAGTTTGCACATATTTTTGTTGGTGCCCATAACATTTTAATATTATGGTCCACAGGTTGTTTCAAAATTTGCAAATCAAATTTTTTAATTTGATTCAATTAATGAATTTAACACCTGGTTACAATTTCACATAAGTTAATTTGATGTTGGTGGCTGCATCTAAAACTGACAGAGATCTGCAGGAGGATCAGTTTGTGAGAATTAAAGTTTAAAAATGTTTTTCTGAGATGAATCTTACCGCTCGCAGCCGTTGCCACTCTGCAGGTTGAAGAATCCGGGCTGACAGGCACTGCAGTCGCGTTCGGCCACGTTGGGAAGACATTGGCACTGACCGGTGACTTGAGAACAGCCGGTCTGTTGATCCACCGTCCCCAACGGAGAACAGGAACAAGCTGAGGAGGAAAACGTAGACCACTGGAAATTTTAACTTCCTCTTCAGTTTTAAACCCTGTTAACTACCACACACATCTGATGCAGCTGGAGGTACAACAGTATAGACATCATCCATCCTGGCTCTCTCAGTCGTGACCATCAGTTCCTTACATTTGCATTTGTCAGCAGGGTTGGCAGCCAGAGCGTTGCCATAGAAACCCTCCTTGCAGCGGTCGCAGAAGAAGCCGTCGGTGTTGTAGATACACTTGAGACACTCTCCGGTCTCGCGGTTGCAGTTGCCCACAGCGTTGGGGTCGATGTTGTCGCTGCACTTGCAGGCCCGGCAGGCCCGGACCGGGCCGCTCTGACCCAGCGGATCACCAAAAAAGCCGTCGTCGCAGAGCTCACAGCGCTTACCTGCGGACAGGTGAGGTCATGTGGTTGTTACACATCACTGTTGCCACAGAAACCTTCATTTGTGACTCTCTGCTGGCTTCCCTGTTGGGTCAGTACCTGTGGTTCCAGCAGGACAGTTGGTACAAACCACCTCCCTGGTCTTTGGGACGACGGCGCAGGTGGCTCCAGCCGGACAGGGACATGGCTGACAGTCACCTGACGTCCCTTGGGTGGCGTCGCCGTAGAAACCATCCTTACAGCGCTCGCAGCTCAACCCGGCCGTGTTGTCTTGACAGTCGCACGCACCTGTACGGACAGACAGACAGAAGGAAGTTTACATCTGCTGCAACTCACAAACATCCTGCAGTAAACCAACCAGTCAGAGAACCAGTTAACAAAGTAGTCAGAGAACCAGTTAACAAACCAGTCAGAGAATAAATCAACAAAGCAGTCAGAGAACCAATCAACCAACTAATCAGTGAACTAGTCAGACAATCAGGTGGCAAACCAGTCAGAAAACCAGCTAATCAGTCAGAGGCCCAGTAAACCGATCTGACGATAGCTAGACAATGAACTAGGTAGTAGACAAGTAAAGCCAGTTAGTCAAGTCAGCAAAGGAGTTAGCGAACCAGTAAAAAACAGTCATTAAAACCAGTGCATTGCCTCTGTGCCTCTGAATAATAATCAGGCAGTTATAACACCAGTCAGTAACCACAGATTAAACCAGTCATTGACCCAGTTAGCTAAGTTAACTCAGTGTTAGCAGTATCTGGGTTATGATTATTATCTCACTTAGTAAGAAGGTTTTAAATCAATCAACAGCCAGTTTTCATACTAGTTATTAGATCAGTCTGTAACCAGTTAATAAATCAATCTGTAACCAGTCAGTAATCAGATAATAAACCAGTTGGTGACCCAGTTTGCCCAGTTAATCCAGTGTTACCGGTGCCTCGTTTGGGGTTAATGTTTCAGTAAGTAACCAGTTATTGAACCAGTCATTAACCAATTATTAAACAGTCAGTAACCAGTTATTAAACCAGTCAGCGACCAGTTATTACACTACGTCAGTAACCGGTTATTAAACCAGTCGGCAACCCAGTTTGCCCACTGATCCCAGTGTTTCCAGTTTGTGGTTAATATCTCACTCAGTAACCAGCTATTAAACCAGCCAGTGACCAGTCGGTGACCCAGTTCTCCCAGTTAACCCAGTCTTACCAGTGTCTGGGTTGCAGGCGTCGCTGTGTCCATTGCAGTTGCAGGGCTCACAGGAGCTGAACGCGGCGAGCTCAGGTTGGGCACGGCGGTATCCCAGAGTGCACTGCTCACAGTGTTGCCCCTGGTAACCCTGAGGGCAGGTGCACTGCTCCACCCAGCGGGCTGGCTGACCTGGACCCCGCCTGGCCGTCACCAAGGAGACATCATCCAGGTAACCAGCACCTGGAGAGACCAACAGATTACAGGTGTGTTTGGGTTGTTGTTGCTATTGTGTTGCTGATGTTGTGTGTCTGTGTGCATTGCTTACTCCTCTCGCTGTAGGTGCCGCGGATCTTGATGGCCGTCAGGTTGTGCAGAAGTTTCTGGAAGTCGGAGTGACTAATAGACGGCCTCCAGGGGTAGTCAGTACTATCATGGAGCCTGAACACAACAAGAACCAGAACCAGAGATTATCAACACCGAAATTTAATCCAGATCAACACAAATCAGGATTATTAAAATGAGACAATTAAAGACTGTTACCAAATATCACTCTAATTAAATCCAGATTATTAAATTATCATTAGAAACTAAAACTATACCAGAAGTAAAAATCAGAAACAAAATGTAGTTTTACTTCAACCAGATGAACTGATTATTAGTAAAGTTTAAAAGCGTGTTGATGAATCAGTCTGACACAGATTATCATCATAATTCAAAACTGGATGTAGAGATTTCTACAATGAATTGATAATGATTCACAACTGTATACACAGATTATGACAAACATCTGTCTAGTTTAGTTTACAGTTTAAAATTTAAAAGTGGACAAACTATGATCAATTATCCATATTTAATACAGATTATCATCGTAATCCAAACTAGATTTTGAGATTATTGTACTAAATCAATAAATTATTGGATGGATTTAAACCTAGATGCACAGATTAAAACCAGTTAACCCAGATACATTTAATCCAGACAAACAAATTACCACATTTACTGATTAAAAGAAAAAAATTAAAATTTATAATCACATTATGTACAGATTATTACAAAAAAGCTGAAAACAAAAAGTAAATATCATAACCAATGTATCAATGTACTTTTATCTAATCCATGATCAATTTAATACAGATTATTATCATAATTCAAAATTAGATGTACAGATTATTATCATACATCCTACAATGATCAGTGGGATTTAAGACTACATGTTAAGATTACAACCAATTTAATCCAGATTAATTTAGTCAAGATTAATTTAATCCATTTTGACAAACTATTAATAAAGTACAAAACCAGTGTTTGACCAATAAATCTGATTTAATATAAATTTTCTATTATATACACTACCGTTCAAAAGTTTGGGGTCACATTGAAATTTCCTTATTTTTGAAGGAAAAGCACTGTACTTTTCAATGAAGATAACTTTAAACTAGTCTTAACTTTAAAGAAATACACTCTATACATTGCTAATGTGGTAAATGACTATTCTAGCTGCAAATGTCTGGTTTTTGGTACAATACAGTACATAGGTGTATAGAGGCCCATTTCCAGCAACTATCACTCCAGTGTTCTAATGGTACAATGTGTTTGCTCATTGGCTCAGAAGGCTAATTGATGATTAGAAAACC